TGTAATAGCCACTAGTTGATTAGTAGAGAAGTCCCTTTTTAAATGCTCATTTGATGTAGGCAAGAATGTAGAGTGCTCCTTCCATATATACCTCTCGAGGTTCCTAAATGAATTGGCTATGAATGTCAACTACATAAGATATGTCTGAACAAGTGAGAGTGAGATAAAATAATTTGTTGAGCAGATGGCAATATCGATTGACGTCTTCTAATTTGAGAGAATCATCATCCCAGAACTTGGGCCGAGCCTCCATCGGTGATGAAGCAAGTTACATCCCAATAGTTATGTCTCTTAAAGAAAGTCTAGCACATATTTCTTTTACGAAAGAGCAAGTTTTCCCTAACAATAGGTAAACTTAATCCCTAGAAAATACTACAGAGTAGAAAGATCACAAGTCACAAAGTGTTGATGAAGATATGCCTTCATAATAGAAATGTCAGCCCCATCACTATCAGTCAAGAAGATATCATCGAAATAAACCACAAGCACCACACACCCGTCCGAGGAGGTTTTTGTGTATCACACTTGGATCAAACATACATGGAGGGAAGCTAAAAGTAGTAATGAGATACATAAACTTCTAAAACTAGGTGCAAAGAATTTGCTTGAGCCTATAGATTGCCCACTTAAGTAAACACACTTGAGAAGTCTCTCCTTGAGAAACATACCCTAAAGGTTGCTCCATAAATACCTACTCAGTGAGATCACTATAGAGGAAGGCGTTGGAAATATCTAATTAATGGAGAGACCACACCTAAATTGACTACTAGACAGAGAGGTACATGGATGGAGCTGAGATAAACCACAAAAGAGAAGGTTTCCATGTAATCAATATTGTAGGCCTTGGTGAAGTTGCGAGCAATGAGACACACTTTGTGATGAGCAATAGAATCATTGGGGTTGTACTTGAGGGAGTACACCCATTTACAAGTCACGATTTTGCCATCAGTCAAACAAGGAACAAGCTGCTAGGTGTCGTGCTAAACCAAGACAAAGTACTCGACGTCTATCACCAACTTCCACTTAGGTACCTAGAGAGCCTCATGATACATCTCAAGTATTGACTTAGATGAGACGAAGAGAGTAAAAGCCTAGAAGGTAGGGTGAAGTTGATCATAAGAAGCAAAATGAGAGATGAGATGTTGAGTGCAAGAGTGAGTGCCCTTGTGTAAGGTAATGGGAAGATGGAGATCATTGAGTGGGGAGGTAGATGACGTAGGAAAAATTGACGAAAGTGGTACTAGACTAGAGGAAGGGGTCGAAGACCCAACAAATGAGTTAGACGACAAAGACTGAGAGAGTAGTGAAGACGCATAAGAGTCATGGACTACTAGAACATGTGGGGATGACGATGGAGGAAAACCAAGAAGTGGTGAGTAATACGCTAGAGAAGGAGCAATGAAAGAAGATAAGTAGGAGACATCATCATAGAAGGTGACATCCGCAGACATGAGATACCGATGAGTGTTAAGAAGATAGGCTCAATATCTCTTCTAAGTGTGAGAGTAGCCAACGAAGACACCTTTCAAAGCAAAAGGTGTTAGCTTAGAGAGAGAAGAAGTATGGTCATGCACAAATACAATATAGCCAAATACTTGGGGAGGGAGATGAAAGAAATTGGTCTTAAATAAAAGCTGATGTAATATAATCGCACCACCAAAAGTAGACGAAGCTACGCAATTGATGAGGAAGGTGGTAGTGAGGAGGGCATCTAACTAGAGATAGTGCAAGACATGTATGACTACAAGGAGTGTATGAGTCATGTCAAGAAGATGTCAATGCTTTCGTTCAACAACGTCATTTTACTGAGATGTGTAGGGGCAAATAGTCTGATGAATGATGCCACGGTCTTTGTAGAAGCTTTGAAAGGTATTTTAGATAAACTCTAGGGTGTTATCTGTTTAGAGAATCTTGGGGCTAGTAAAATACTATGTGATGATCTCCGTGATGTATTGGTGGACCGTGTCGCAAATTTGAGAGTAGTATTTGAGAAGATAGATCCATGTAACGCAAGTATAGTCATCAATAAAGATAATATAATATTACAATCATATTAGTGAAGCAACTCGAGATGGCCCCCACACATCATAGTGAATGAAGTAGAATGGTCGAGAAGTATGGATAGAATCTTGAGGCAGATATGTAGAATGGTAATCCTTACCTAGTTGACATGACTCACACACAAACTTGGAAAGAGTAAGCCATGGAAGGAATGTTTGAAGTTTCAATAAACATGGATGTCCCAATTGACTATGCCACAAAATATATGAATTTTGCGTAAAAAAAGCAAACAAAGTTAGAAGTCTTGAGGAAAGAGAGTCAAGAACAAGCTCATAGATACCACTACCATTCTCATGGCCCAAATCAATCTTTCATCTAGTACACAAGTCCTGAAAGACAATGGTAAGGAAAGAAGATGACAACACAATGTAGTGCACAAGTGATAACACTAATTAACAAAGGATTCTTAAGAAAACCAAGAACATAAAGCACATCCTAGAATGGTTGATTGACGGTGGGAGTGGTGCCATACCCTTTAACAAGACAAGAATAACTATCAGCGACGAAGACAAAAGGAAGATGACAGGTGGGTATAAGAAAACAGAGAAAGGAGGGGGACCCCATCATATGGGTTGAGGCCCCTAAGTCGATAAACCAAGAAGTACAAGAGGTGAGTAGAGCATATATACCTGAAGTGGGTGTGCCATATGTGAAAGTGGAGGCAAGACTAGTAGAGGAGCCATGAGAGGAAGCATGAGAGGCTTTCCAATTCTACATACTCTTTAGGAGTTATGGTCATCTAAACCATGGGAGCAGATGATGTAGACGAAGGAGCCATAGAAGGCAAGCTGCTAGAGATTGCGGCCTAACCCCATGTCAGCTTATCAAACTTCTTCCAACATTTCTCAGCCGGCTGATTTTGCCTACCACAATACGAGCACGGAGGGAAGGAATTTTTCTACTTAGTCGATCCCTTCCCCTTCCCAACAATCTTCAAGCTACGACCTCCACTAACACCTATAGCAGCAAGGGTAGAGGGGTCAAGAGCTACAAGAGCAGTAGGAGTAAGAGCAGTACTAGTTTGCACATGAAGAGTCGCTGAGAAGATATATGTCATTGGAGGAACTTGAGTGCTAGAGAGGACTTGGCCATAGATCTGATTGACGAGCTTCGGATGAAGACCACTGAGAAAGGCCCCTGCGTAGAGTTCATCACAATAATGAGTGAGAGTGGGCAGAACTACGATCGAGGGTTGATAGACAAATAGCTCGGTGACGATATCTTGTAATTCACTCAAATATGCCTAGAGCGATCGACTGCCTTACTTACCAGTGAAGAGTGATTCATAGAGACGGACAATATAGTTGATGTTGGTCTTATTTGCATACATCATCTTGAGAGTGTGTCATAATTGATGAGCTGGCTTTAGGTGATTGAGAGGCCGAATAATGAAAGGCTCAACACTCTAACAAAGCAGTGTTGATAGTAGAGTCAAGATGCCCCCAATCAAGATAGTCCGGAGACATGACATCAAGTAGAGGTGACTAGAGGTGATGGAATGCCGGGGAGGGAACGAGGCAAGAGGCGAGGTGGAGCGTATCGTTACCGAAGGTAAGGGCGAGTCATTGGAAGATGACCCCGGTGTATCTGCCATCAAAGGGAGAGATGGAACTCACCGAGACGACAAGAGGCACGAGCGGACGGCGCGCAAGGAGGCAGAAGATGAGCACATAAGCCGACACACAGGAGGCCCTGGAGATCACGTGCCGGCACCGGGGAGGGCTGGACGCCCTGAGGTCAGATCTTGCTGTTGACACCAGCCCTGGAGAGCACGGGCCGGCACGGGAAATGGCTGGATGTTGTGAGATAAGTGCCCAGAAGCTGGACGCCCTGACATAAGCGTCCAGAGGCTGAGAAACCGGTGGCTGAGGCCACCGGCGAGGGGCTGGACGCCCTAATGAAGCCGCCACGAATAGAGGCAGCGCCGAAGACGCCGCCGGAAGATTAGCGACAAGGAATGGCGGCGCAGGGCGGGCTGCGTGAGAGAGAGAGGGGCGCAGACGCTGCGTGGGCAGGAGCGGGTGGAAACCGGTGGCTGAGGCCACCGGGAGATGGGTAGACGCCCTGAGATAAGCGCCCAGAGGGCCGGCGTGCCGGCGTGGAGGGCGAGAGATGGCCGGTGAGATATGCCGGTGTAGAGGGCGAGAGAGAGCCGCCACGTGGCGCAGGGTGGGCTGCGCCAGAGAGAGAGAGAGCGGCGCAGGGCGGGCTGCGCCGAAAGAGAGGGAGAGCGCGGAGATGCTGCGCGGGCGAAGAGGCCGCCGGAGGAATGGCGGTGCGAGCGGTAGAGCGAAGGCGAGGGATCGAGCCCATATTGCTCTGATACCATGTGGAGAGAAGGGGCGCCGTCGACTCCTCGCCCTCAGATTGAAAAAGAAAAGGGGGACAACTACAAGGGTTTATAATGACCCTATTGGCCCCAAATGGGGCAGGTCCATAATGGGCCGAAGGCCACAATCTAACAGACATTTCTCGCATAAAGCCGTACAGAGATCTACCTTCCTGGGATAATTTCTTTATCATCGTAAGCAAACTGTATATTTTAGAAGAAAGTCGCGCTAAATGGAAAGCTCGACGTAAACATCGTGTTCTGGCAGGTTCCACCGTCGGCGTTGATGACCTGCGTTACACGGTTCGCAAGCCGGAAGCTCCGTCTTGGTTCACACTACGGTTCATGCCGACCAGAGAACAGCTTCTTAAGGCCGTAAGATACGGAACTAATTCCGCCTCTCCTAATGTGTGTCAACGTGGCTTGTCAATGTGGAAAGCAATGGTCATAATATTGAATGATGAACGGTCATGAATAAGAGATGTCAATTGTTCTTAAACGAGTTAGACTATCTCACGCACAAGATGCGTGGCATATCGGCCGGAAGCGAGTTGTCCCTAGGATCTAAGGCAGGGGGAGCTCGGCCATATTAAACAGTAGAAGGCTGAAAATGGAGAGAAAGATGGGTTTGCTCCTCCTCACCGCAGCCTTCTCCGCTGCCGTGTTCACGCAGATGGCAGCCTCCACCGTCGTTCCGGCGATCTACGCATTCGGGGACTCCACGACGGACGTGGGGAACAACAACTTCTTGCCGGGGAACCAAGCGAAGGCAAACTTCCCTCCCTACGGGATTGACTTTCCGCGCAGCAGGCCCACCGGGAGGTACAGCAATGGCTACCTCGTGGTGGACTATATGGGTAGGCCTCCCTCCCTCTTTGTTATCTTCGACGTGCCTCCATAGAGACCAATGGAGCAGCGGGAGAATTTAGAATTCGTGTTCGCGTCATTTGTGCAGCAAAGAAGCTGAAGTATAACAAGAGCCCCCCGGCGTACCTCTCCATCTCCAACGACGCGCAGGCGAACCGCGGCGTGAACTTTGCCTCCGGGGGATCGGGTATCTTCGACGCCACCGTAAGTTTCGAACCGTCAGATGGAAATCACCTTGCAATTTGTCGTACAGTCTGAAGTATTCATCCGAAGTTTCATTTGTCTTGGAAACTTCAACTGACTATCTGTTCTTTCAACCGGATGGATCGATCAGGGCCAGAACTTCTCCATTTCCCTGAACCAGCAGATTAAGTACTTCAAAGGAATCACTCGTCGGCTGAGGACCCGAATTGGCGGCCGCGCAGCCCACTGCTTCCTTTCCAAGTCCTTATTCGTTTTCAGCACGGGAAGCAATGATATGTTCCGTTTCTACGTGAACTTCGGACTTAAGAATGAGACCCAACAGCAGCTGTTCATTGGACAGTTGACCGGCCAGTTTAGAAACCAGTTGGAGGTACTCTTCTCTCTCTCTCTCTCTCTCTCTCTCTCCCTCCCCTCATCTGTTCTCCTATCTACGGCGAATTATGTATATGATAGTCGCTGTATTTAATGGAACCCGACCATGACAGACGCTGTACGATCTCGGAGCGAGGAAATTCGCGGTGTTCGGCTCCTCCCTCATCGGCTGTATCCCCATTCTACGCTTGGGCGTGCCCGGCGCAAAATGTGTAGAAGACTTAAACAATCTCTCACAGCAGTTCAACAGGGCCACACAGATCGTCCTGCGTGACCACGCCTCCACCTTGAAAAGTTTCTCCTATTCCTTCATCAACTCCTACGACTTCTTCACCCTTGTCTCGTCCCAACCGCTAAAATATGGTATGCGCATCCCCCTGATCTTCCTCTTCCACCCGACTTTCCTCTACGGATTGCTCTGATGTCGTCTTCTCGGCCTTTTCGAAGGGTTTACGGACATCGTCTCCGCTTGCTGCGGCTCCGGGAGATTGAACGCCGAATCAGAATGCAGGCCCAATTCGACCTACTGCTTCAACAGGGACGAATATATCTACTGGGACCGGGTCCACCCCACCCAGGCTACTTACCGGCTGATCGCCCTCACGGCGTATCGTGGGCGTCGGTACGCTTCACCCGTAACCATCAAGCAGCTGGTCGGTCTTTGAAGGCGATGGAGAGGGCAACCTGCTCAGACGGCGACCCCTCGTGGCGTCATTCAATAGGATTTTATTTCAGCGTGAAGATCTGGGAAAGTCCGTGATGAAAGAGTTTCGCGTCAATGAGGTTGTAATCGCGAGTGGAGACTTCTGTGAGCACAGTTGCTCAACGATAGTTATAAGATATCGCGGGGAACTCTGATGGTCTTCATCTTCTTTTTCCCGTTTCCTGTCGCAGACTGTGTTCACGTACAATGAAAGGTTGGAAACACGTGGCATCCGCGCCAGAGCTCTATCCCTTTATTTAATATTTTGATGCCACAATAATTCAAAAAAAATTGGACTATTTATCGCCCAAGGTTTTGAAGAGTCTGAGCTTTTTTGGTTACCCAACGAGGTTAAAGAGATCTGGTGCTGTATGCCATTGGGATCGATGCATGCGGCGGGGATGCTGTGGATGGCAAGGAGCTCAAGTATGTGTATCATGGAGATGGTCAACATCACGTTAATGTCCAACTCTCCGTCGCAAATAATTACTTTCTCGTTTGAACTATGCTGCTGGCGACAGATGTGTTATATGTTATTGTATTTTAAATATTGTCAGATTTTTGAGTATTCCGAAATCGGTGGATGAGGTTGCAGTTTGATGTTATAATTATGGTTTGTAAGGCCTGATCGTCATGCTGCATGCAGTCAATGGTAAAACGGCTTGGAATATCATATAAATTCACAAGAGAAAAACAGCTGAAAAACTATTTTTTGAGTCGAGCGTGCAGTAAAAATTTAGATAACATGAAAAAAACTTTTTCCCGGTGATGCAGCAATGACATACTCGAATATACATACAATTTCAAACTAATTGGGTTGCTTAGGTTTTACTATCAATGATATTAGAAGTATTATAGCTTTTAGCTCAAGAGGGAGTTTGACGATCTTAATCAACAGAAATCATGGTTTGCATACCCATATCGTCGACAGCATTGTTTACATTGGATCAGAAGTTTTCTCCCATCGGCAGGCCTTTTCGAATCCTCTACATGTATTTTGGGTTGATTGGATGAATCATATTGGCATTCTTCACTCTCAGGTTTTGCCCACATTTTATACTCTTTTTCATTTTAACAGTGAACAATGTACTCAAGACGCGCCAGATTTGTATTTAAGTACCAAGATGGGGTTTTTATTTTCATTATGACTTTTGATGTAGCTTGCTACTCACAGCTTGTGGCGCCCATGAGTATTGAACTTGTCTGGCATTTTTTGGTCACTAAAGAGTTAAATAAAACTGTGCTCCTATATATCTTGCAAATTTGATTCTTCGTTGATGTTGCATGGGCAACAGTACCGAGATCTACAAGACCCTGCCTACAGATAGCTGCGTAAGAAATTAGGCAAAAAATTCAGCTCTTTATTTATTTATTAGTTTTAAATTATCCAACTCCTAATGACAAGGGTTCCTTTTTGGATTTTTTTTCTTTGCTATTGCGGTTTGATCATGTCTCTATCACTTGCATCTATTTATGCTTTTCTTGCTCCAAGTTCAGAAAAAACTCCGTTCCAATGAATAGTTTTATCATCTTGGTCTCAATTATTAGTCTAGTATTTATTGATGTCTCTGGAAAAAGCCTCCTAATTGTAGTAATTTCCATATGTTGGATATTATAAGGAATTTTTTACTTGAGCGTTCACCTAGACCACATGGCATCCTTGAGATACATGGCATTCTGTATGCCTCTGGTAAGGCTCTGCCGTTAAGCTGCAGGCACATAGATGGATAACATAAAAGGAGAGAGAAAACTAGATACAGAGAAAGATAGAAGATAACACGGGCTCCACAGAACCTTAGTAGGACCAGGGAAGATGCTCGAGTGGCTTCCATTTCTCTCCGTCTCCTCTCGGAGCCCTAGAAATGTTTTACCCCCTAGACGATGTGTTACTGTAGGTAGGCCCATGGGGGCAGCTAAATACCGTGTCCTTAGGATGACCCTTTCTTTCCATCTATAATCTCCTCAATCCTCTACTTCACCTAGTTCTCACCACGCCTCAAAGCTAAGGAGATCCTTTCAATGGATGAGGACTCCCAAGTGATGGGGATCGGAGCAGCCACATCAGTAGAAGTTGACACATCATTATCGACTGCCACATCATCAGACACTACTATGTCATCCCTACTGCCGATGTGCAGTGCCACTGTATCCCTGCTGCTGATGTGTCGTGACACGTTATCGCATCGCCTGATTAATCATCACCACGGCATCCCTACTGCGATGGAGGGTTGGTCTCGAGGACCACCGCCACTCCTGGTCAGAGCTTGCGGCCCGACGCACCTCCATCGCACGTCCTCCAGGCGCCGCTGTCCTTCTCGCCTCCTCCGCCTCACCCCCATGAGCCACCACCTCCTTCGTCGCCGCCGCCGCTGTCGTATGCCACTGCCTGCGGCCGTCACTGGACGCCGCCGCCAGCGCCATCGCCGCGTCTTCCCAGTCGCCAGATACCGCAGCCTCGTGCACTGTCTCCTCCCGTTGCCACTCCGCCGAGGTCGAGTCCTCAACGTCCACCCGCTGCCGCTGCAGTGGCTCCCGCCAGCGTCCCCGCCTCCTCCTCCTCTGCCGTCACATTTAATGTGGAGAGGAGAAACGAAGTGCGAGGGAGAAACGGTCAGCCGGAAGGCCGATTCTCACGGACTCGACGGCCGATTTATGACCTGAACAGGCCATGAACCGGAAGAAAGGAAACCGTTTGGTACGTTTCCTGAGGTTCTTACTAAGATGGTTACCCAGGTGGCTTTTAAGATGGCTACTAATATGATTTATCGGGTTGGTGAGTGCATCAGAGGGCCAAGATCAAAGATGTTCCTTAGGCTCTTACAAGGGTTAAGAACAAGGATCTATTCTCTGGGTTTTTGAGGAGTGATTTTTCTGTACTACTTTTCGCAACTAGTAGAGCTTTTGTCATCGCCCGTGAACGTAGGAGGCCAACCTCTGAACCACGTAAAATTTTTGTGTCGATACTTTTGTTGTGAGTTGTTCTTTTTTCTACCTCATTTCATGTCATGAGTATGGCTTCTACTAAAATTTATATAGGATATCTTACTCTAGCAACCGCTACTCACTCACTGTTGCCGCCTAGCACCACCACGGCCCCCACTACTGCTGCCTCAAGCCATGTGTTGAGTCACGGCTGAAACATTCCAATTATGGTTTCGACTGTGACCCCTTTAGGGGGGACACTACCCCAACCCAACTAACCCACTAGACCAGCCCCCTGACCCACCAGCCCACCCCACTTGACCCGCCAGCCTAGCCACTTGACCTGCCAGCCCAACCAACTTGACCTGCAGGTCCAGCACCCTGACACGCCTGCCCAACTCACATGACCCGACGGCCCAGTCAGCTTGACCGCCCCGACCGAGCCCACTTGATCCACCAGCCCAGCCATCTTGACCACCCGACCCAACCACTTGACCTGCCAGCCCAGCCCATGATTTGCCACTATCTCTATTTTTTTTAACATCTTGATGACGCCGAAGTATCTTGGGGCTAGTTTATCGTTTGGGGATTGGGCTAAAGATGTCAAATGATATGACTTGAGGTGTAATATTTTCCTCTCTTCTACTTAAAAGCTGACATCCCTATGGTGTTTGTGTGCTTGATACTTTAAACTTGTGCATTGTGAAGTTGGTATTTCAGTAACTATAACATTTGATCCCTTTCGGACATCAATTTGTCCATAGCTGCCACATGCCATTTAGGCGAGTCACAAAGTACTAAGACTAGTGGGTGGTGGCCATACACTATCTTGAATAGTGTGATCTCTAAAGAAGGAAAAAAAGAGGTGTTATAACAGAACTTGATGACTTGTCAAAGCTAGTTGATCTAAGTTTTGGGGTTCTCAAAAGTGAAGCAAGAAAGGTAATTTGTTTGGAGACCAAAACAATGTGTTATACTTTAATTATGTCCCTTGTATCTTAAAGAGAGTCAATCAAAAAGGACTAGTGAAGATAAACTAGTCCATCGTACTCTCAAATAGGTCTTTGTTGGTTACTCACAAACACAAAAAGGTTATCAAGTCTATTTTTCTGATACTTGTCACTATGTGATATCAGCTAATGTTACTTTTCATGAGGAGTCTCATTTCTTTTCTCTAACATCAACTTCTAAATCTGTTGCATCTTCATCACCTGATTTTCCTTCTATGGTGATCATTACCTATCCCTCTCTTATTCTTTTTACATGTTTAGTTTCTTCCTCGTCAACTCTTCTTTTGAGACTTTCGACTTTGTCGACATCTGACTCCTCTACTTTGGGATCAGATTCGTCTTCACCCTCTATTGACGAGCCTCCTTCAGTCATATCTTCTGACACTCAAGTGGATGACCTTCACCTCCTATTGCTCTCTACACAAGTACTCATGCATGCACCAAACACTCTATTTCTCACGTTGTTTCATACAATCATATTTCTCTTTTCTTTCATACCTTTGTCCTTTCCATGGCCTTTGAGTCAGTTCTATAATCATATGTTGAGGTTGCACAGATACCTAAATAGAAGGCAGTCATGGACTTGGAGGTAGATGTCTTGGTGCCTTAGAGAACTTGGACACTTGTATCTCATTCACTTGATACCAACATGGTTACGTGCAAGTAGATTTTCATACTCAAGTATAACCTAGTGTAAGGGTGACTTGGTCATCCTTCATTCAATAAGGCCCATGTGAGCCATATCCCTTCTTACTAGGCTTTCACTTATGACTATTTTCTATCTAGAAAATAGTCTAGCCCCTTTTCTATAACTTGTATTTAAAGGGAGCTCGAGGAGAGAGAAAAGAGAGAGGAAATAGACAAATCTAAGGCACAAGAAACCTAATCCTCTCCAACGGCTGCAACAAGAGTTACGACATCATCTCTCTCCTTTTGTTCTCCCTCTCCTCCACTAGTGACTAGTATTATTATTTCATTAACTCTATCTCTGTTGTATTCTATTCCTTAGACCTTGTCATTACTCCCTTCT